ATTTTCATTGCAAGATTTTAGGTATTACGCACAATACATTATACGGTAGCTTAGATATCCTACGTTTCTGTATGTGTGGTAGAAGACATCTTTAGTTCAAATCGATACTTACTTATCTGAAACAAATTTTAACAATCAGCTGGACTGCATAGTGAGTCAATTAAATTACCTATTACCAGTTTCCGCGCCATGAAGGGACGGTAAATGGGGAACCCTTAGGTTTATAGCTGACACAGACAGACAGTCTTACTGCTACTTACGTATACCTAAGTACTTGGTTCTAGGTACCTCCATAGCTAGCTACGTATGTATGTACATACTCAAGTATTTACTAGCCATAAAGGTTATCCACATTTTATTCCTTTTGTGGCGACATACTGAAGTAATCACAATCAGTATATTGTAGGTGTTTATTAATCAAATGCTAACTCAACATTTTTTATGACGTAAATACAGTGTAATCTATGTCTATATACATTATACTCACCAAACAGAATCGTTAAACGGATGAATGAATAAATGAATATTTCATTTTGTCGACTCCCTTGCTCATGTGTGTTTCTGCTAAGTACTTGCATTGTTGATAGCTAGCTTATAGTAGAAACAGTAAGCATAGAGGTACAATTTATTGAAAATATCTATTGATTTTAACAACATCATATTTACCGGACAACAACATTATATTTAAGCAGACAGTCTGCTTGTGACCACGACCTGTGCAACCGGGTCGAAACGTCAAGCCTACCAAGCGATAATAATTTTCCGCGTTAATACCCGCGTAAATATAATGTTGTTAAGATGAAACGCGAAAGTTAAAAAAAAAAAAATATATATTGATTTTCTCACGTAAATTAAGATACCGCACAAAACTTTACTAATCACTTAGTATCAAGTTAGTCATTATTGTTAATAAATTAAGTTAGTAGGTATATCTGTCAAGAGCTACCTAAGTAAGTACCTACTGTTCAAAAATAGTCAGCGAGTAAATGTAAGGTAAGTACATAAAGCAAACAGTGCGCACAGTAAGAGGACGGATACGATTCCACAGGAGCTGGTGGCAGCAGCAGAGCGTCCAGCCGCGGGCCGGGTGCAGGTAGCCGGCGTGTCTCCGCCACTAATTACTCAGCGCGGGGCAGGAGCCGGCGGCCACCCACCGCGCCCGCACTAGATTCCACGCCCGCCGCGTATTTTACACCCTAATTAAGCTAATTTATCGGGACAATAAGAGAAATTATTGGTAGCGAGCCCGCGGTTACTGCTCGCTTTATGAGAGGTATTAAATTGTTGAGTTTAAGAGCGCTACCGAGCTACACGGCCGGCACTGCGGGCCCGAGCCTCGGCTTTGATGCCCCAATAAATATACAAAAGATCCCATCAGATAACCGGTGAATGGAGCCGCCGTCGATTCCGCCGCTCTTAATGAAAGCCACGCCGAGGAATGTCGTGGACAAAGCCTTAAAATGCTAACAACACTCGCACGACACAGGGGCTGCGCGCCGCCGCCGCCCGCGCCTCTAGAATGTGTTCTGATAACGAAGGTGCCAATCTCGCAGGTGGACAGATTAAATGAGTATTTTATGGCAGATTAAGTAAACATTTTTTCCTTGATGGCTGTTTTATAGCCCGCCGGCGTGTGGGCATACGCTCCTTGGAATGTTTCAACAATTATAGCGGCCTGCCTCGCTGCCGTCCGGGTACACCCCTATTCATTTTAAAGGTCTTTTAATTGGTACTTATCCGTCGAATTAAAATTACTAATTAGATATCTCCAAATTTTATACATATGTTAGTTGATAAAATGCCTGCCTGCATATATTTACGTAGATATACCTATGATGTAACGTACCGTCACGCTTTTTACTCACATAAGTAATATTAATATTTTCTAAATCAGTTAGAATTATGTTTAGTCCTAAAGTGACTTCTATTTTTCGCCTTTCGAACGACCCAGATATTGAACACTCATAAACATCTAACATAAAAGGTTTATTATATCTTATATGATATCTTATACCTACACGTACACAATATCTTTTTTAAAAGCTGTGTTTATGTAAAGAATGATCTGACAAAAAACATTTTCTTAACATTTTCATCATTACTCAATATCCATATTGCTTCACCATAACTACATGTAAAGGTGATAACAGTTTGTGTGAGATCAATTATGGACCCTGTAGGGCGCAGCAAAATAAGGCAACAGGAGAGAGAAAGCTCTGTCTCAATGTCGTAAAATAATTGAATTATCTAAATATATTAGCAGAAGCATACCTATCTATAATTTTTTTTATAATAAGTTTCTGTAACTTGGCAGTCTGTGTCAACACAATAAGCCATTCAGATGAGGTATCTTGATCCTTGTCTTGTGGAAGGAATTTCTATGAATCCCTTTCATCTGGTATCTATGTATCACGACAAAGCATTCGTTATGCTAATAAAAGTTAAGAAAAAACGTTATGCGAAACAATTATTATCTAAGTAGGTAGATACCCAACTAGTATATTGATTTAAAGCAGCCTATGTGTTAATCCAGGGTATTACCGCGGCCTCGGCCCAGAGCAGGAGAAGGAACGGGGCCTTTTTTTAATCAGTAAGAGACACTCTTTGCCGGCCGACCCTAGGCGAAAGAAGTCATTTGATGAGATTCCCCTCACAACAAAAAGGGTATCACCTATCTATCAACCAAATGGGTAGGTACCTAGGTAGAGGTATCTAGCCGTTTTTGTGTGACAGAACAAACAAATTCACTATCACAAATTTTCACATTTATAAATAAAGTAGAGTAAAGTAGGATAAATGTCCCGAAATGTATACCAAGAAAACTGTAGCTGTTGTAGATAGGCACTTAATTGATATACACAAGACTTACAAACAAACTTACTCACACTTACGAAAGTTAGGTAGGTATGTACCTAAACAGGGTTTTGCTGAATACCTTTGTAAATACCTAAGTACTAGGACCCACTTGCGGCAAGCAAGTGGCTGGAATTAACTAGGAAATGGTATTTAGAAAATCGATCCTGAGTTGTTCTTCATCATATTAAAATATCAGGTATCTACTTATATATGTTTGCAATGGTCTTGCGTTTGATGTGATCTACGATGGAGCACGCATACCCACCAAGTGCCCTCTCACCTCTCGTCACACTTCGGGGAACACATCATGTAGGTAGGTAGGGCAAACAATTCCACTCCTATAGCGGCTCTAATGAAAAAACGGGAGGCGAATCGCTGCATGCCTTGTGTGAGATATCCATGATGAAGCAATGGCGGTTTGCCTGTTGCCTGGGAATCAAGTGCAGTTCCCTTGTACCCTTTCCAAAATAGATCTGATGAAAACCCAATGAAAACTGGCTTATAATGCTCATTCATTCAAGTTATTTACTTACTGCTGATATTAAAAATCGATCCTAAACCTCAGTTAGAAACTACACAAATATCAATATTACTCTGCATTTTGGACTGAGAGCGTTTATACAGAAGTTGGGAGCAAAAAAGGTCTACTTCCATTACGGTCAAGCAGATCCAACTCATCACGTGCTTCGCAAACCTAAGGTAAAAATACTTTGTACGCACATCCTACTAAGTAGTTACGAGTCAATTTTACAAAGAACGCCGACTACCCTCCGTTTTGCATCCAAATTGATACGATCATCATTGTGATGATAAAGTGATCAAAAGAATGAACAAATTACCTAATCGTAACGGTTCCTAATAATTCTTGAAAACAATAATTCTTCTCTCAGAAGTGGAATTGATTCTTTGACCTTACAGAAAACAGTCAACCACATTGTCGTTTTTGTGATTAGCGAAGGTTCAATCCTTCCCCTCCCCCTGTCCTATCCCAATCCCTAAATCTCCGAAACCCTGCACGTTTGCAATCCTAACACAAACTTTTATGACACTTTTTCTTTCGTGAAATGATGAGTCAGTTGGTATTTTTTTTTTAATTTCTTAATGTCACGCCTATTATCTACGGGGCAGTGCTGCAGATTAGCCGAATTTTGTTATGAATCCCATACTCCAACCACAAGCCTCCTAATGTTACACATTTTGTGAATAGAAACGAAGGCCTTCTGATTGACAGTCATACTTGCGACCACTCAACCAACAACAACGCAGTCGTATTTTAATTACTTACATCAAATGATACTTATAAAATGATAAAAAGTGTCGTACTTATTTTATGTATATGTTTTTATTTGTTTGAGGCGAAAATCATTGATTAATTTCTCGACCTGGGTGCGGCGAAACTTCCTCTTAGACTCTTACTGACTAAAATCCACCGCGTTCCATCTCCTGCTCCAAGCTGATGCCGTGGTACCTTATTGTTGTTGCCTCGCAAATTATTGCATGTTTGTTAATACCCACAATAAAATGTTACAACTAGCGCCATCTATTACATTTACGAGGTTCAATAAAGCTTGCCAAATTGGATACTGGTGGAATAAAGATGTAGACAAGGATGAGGTTAACTCATGGTAATAATGAAATTGTGTCAGATAAGAAGTGTGTGATGTGGGTTCAAAACTAGTCTAATAATTTATTACGTAAGTACCAATAAAAAAATTATTGAGTGCAGAGTTGAGCCACCACACTACAGTATCCACAATAAAATCTTCTCTGTAGTGTATAGATGGCACTATTTTATCTTTATTGCTTTAAAAATAAAATAGTGCTACCTATTGATATTCTTTGCCTTTTTCCATAAAATTGTGTTCTGTCTTTTTATGGTAAGTACATTCTTTTGTTGTGAAGTTTAATAAATTGCTTTAAAATACAACTTTGCAAATCTTTTTTATGGTTAACCCATAACGTTGTATATTATTCAACATTATTCAACTATTCTTATTTATGTAATTATTAAATATTTTAGGTGTAGATTTAATAGCCTTTGACAATTTTTCTTCTTAAATGACAATTATTTATTCGTATTTTATTGGCCATTAGTTTTAGGACGCTAAACAGAACGGAAAGTAATAGCAGTCCGTAACTGTCAATGTCACGCGTTATGAATCATAAATGTCATTGTCACTGTTGTCATGTGTCATGTCAGTCAAAATCAAAACTTGAGGTGCATCGTTTGCCTGTTGTTGTTAGTTGTTACAGATTTGCGCTGTATTATTAATAATAGACATCGGCCCGTGGAAGATGAGCCGTCTTGATGCCGACGACTAGTATAAATGTTGCGGAATGGTCCGTGGACCAGGTAGCGGACTGGCTGTCGGGTAAGTGGCTGCGGCCGGTTCAGTAGCCAAGAGCGGTGCGAGTGCGAGCGAGTGAGTCACGGATGTTGTCGGTAGGGCTGGGCCCGACCGTGGCGCGCTACGTGCCGGCGCTGCGGGAGCGCGGCCTGGACGGCGCCAAGCTGCTCACTCTGCGCTGCGACGACCTGGAGTACCTCGGGGTGCACGTCATCGGGCATCAGGAACTCTTACTGGAGGCGGTCGAGCATCTTCGGAACTTTGTGAGTCGGCTATAGTAAATCCGTGTCTAAATAAAGTATTCAAGTAGAGTTCAGTCAGTAGGGAAACAGGATGAGTCACAGGAGAGCAATACAGTTTCACTTATCTGAGCAATGTAATGTGTGTTTCCCCCCGCAGCAGTTCGAGTTGTCCCGCGAGTGCGTGCAGCAGTTGGCGCTGCGCGTGTCGGTGGTGGCGACGTCCCTGCTGCGCGCGCTGCAGGCACAGCGCGACGCGCGCCTCCACACGCAGACGCTGGCCGACGTCGCGCGGACCGTGCACGCTGTCAAACCACTCGTCTGCTGGCTCGACAGGTCACTGTTTTACACTGCTTACTCATCTACAATATGCAAATTACATATTGCTCATATTATTTACCAAAAAAGTCATCACTTTAATTTAGTTATAGCCATTCTTGTGCTTGTATAAAAGATATCAATATCCCAAGCAGTATTGATTGTGCCTGTCCATTCAAAGTTTCCAGAAAGACATTGCAGAATGAAATAACCCATTGTATATTTTTGACATCATTTAGATTTCTTTGATAACTGTAACTATTTTACTATAGTTGTCTAAGTATAAAAAGCTTAGAACAAAAATGAATTTTGACTATAGTTGCTACTTGGCGCTGCCCAAAAGGCAGGCTAAAAGAAATGTGTTACATAAATTATTTTTTGGGGATATATATATAAAGTTATCAATATGTTAGATGCACTATTATTTAAAACAAACAATATTTTTCTGAAACAGAATACTTAAAGGTTTTTAGGCCCTTACATTCTGTTATTAAGGATTACCTCATACAAAAAGTTAAAGATGAATAGTATAATATGATTATGTAATTTGTATAACTCCCTTCAAACAAATAAATTGATAACTTAAGAGAAAATAACATTCTGAAATAATAATTCATTTGTTATTGTTATGGTGCCTCTTGTTATGGAGTATTATAGTTTTCTGTATTAATGAAATGGACTGAAAGCGCTTGTTTGTAATCATCACATATTTGAAAAATAATTTAGTAAACAGTCTTCTGTCACCACTATTGGTTAACAAGCAGGATGTACTGATTGAAATATAGAGTTATCATCTAGCTAGACTCTTAGTTTTACTCCATAGCAATCTGTACTTTGGAACAAGTAAATATAGGGTCACTCGAGGATAGATTGAGAGATAGGCACTTTTTGTTATATAATGTATGAAAAAGAACATTGGTGAATAGTTTTAAAATAAGGCTATTTGTGACTTGAAGATCAAAATATTGGCAATATTTTCCTATTGACTTGCTGATAGTTGGAGGTAATTTATAAATCTTAAAAGTTAATTCTTATATAGTAATGCAGAAATAAAACACATTAAAACAATTCATTTTATGTTTGTTGTCATAATTAGCAAAGAAATCGGTGTAGTTAATAAATATTAGATTAGATGTTAATACTGGTGGTTATTGTGAAAGACTGAAATATATATATTTTGTAAAATATTGTACTATAGAAATTGTTTTCGATTAAATTAAAGCATCTAAAAAGTTCATATTTACTTTACTGTATGTAGTATAAGCACAGTTGGTATGCGCTACTGAAATAACATGGATGTCTGCCGATCTCCTTCGACTTTGAGAAACTCAATAAGTATTTAAATAAATTGTAACTGGCTTCCAAAGAAGAAGTAAGGTTTTGTTAGGTGGTTGACGTATTTTTATTTGTGGTGAGTGTACCGAGTGAATGAGTGTGGTGTGTGTGTCAGATGGTCGGTATGCGGCAGCTTCCTGTCGGAGCGCAAGGCGGCGCTGCTGAAGCAGTCGCTGGAGGCGGCGACGTGCGGGCAGCGCGACCGGTTCGCCGAGCAGCCCGCGCGCGCCGTCGCCGCCGCCGCCGCCGCCACCGCCGCCACCGCTGACTACATCATACAGGTACGTCACACTACCCACACAACACAAACTTTACTAAAACTGCCCCTACACTCTTTCAATACGAAAACCTTTCTTAGTTAAACCCTTATTACACAAATAAAAAACAGACATATAATTGGGTAAAAAGTTCAAACGCAACTTTAGCAAATCATCTTCTAAATTTTATTAAAAATTGAGTCTTATAATAATGAACGAAAGTTGTTATTATTTCACATGACACAATCAATAAAAGCTTATATCGTTTAAAACTTAAATAAAACAATTTACAACAGTTTCAGCTACTCAATCCTTGGTAGCGCTGCAAAAAAATCATTCTATTCAAAACGCTAATTTCTTTGAAATAGATATCATATTTGTATGAACTTGTAGCAAAAGACGTTGCTATTTTGCTACTCAAAAATTAGACCCACTCTCCTTTTTGGAACTCTATAAAAATCATTTACAAAAATATGAAATAAAAATGGTGATTAGTAACCCACACCTGCCACAGACGGATGCACGCTGTGTGTGGTTAAAACGTTGATGTCTCTCATCTCTCTCACACATAAATCGTCCGAAATCAATTTTCTAAACGATGATGATGAAAAGTAATCGATACGAACCTAATTTACGAATGTGTCCATCCATAAATGAGAAGAGTCGAAACTACTGGAATGTATCGTATATAACGTCAGATAACGAATAAGTAGATTTAAACTTAATAGTAATGAAAATAAGGCCGTTTATAGTTTGCATTGAAGTAATGAATGTGATAAAAAAATATAAAATTAACCAAGGTTAGTTTTATTTTATATATTTTATTTATTTATTTAATACTCAACGATGATACGATACACCTCCACACGACACATTTTATTTTCTGCTTAACTTTTTGCAGTTGAAAACCCCACAACAAGCCATAATTTCTAACATATTTCGTGTTTCTTCGAGACAACCACGACAACCAATCATGACAACGGAACGAACTAAAAATGTTGTTCATCTAACCATAATGTTGGTTAGCGCGCGATGTCGGGGCGGCACTTCCACTGTATTTTCTATTCCGTGGTACAGGTACACGCCGCACTCTCTACTATCTCGCGCTTCGTTGTTCCAGGATGTGTCGGACCCGATGATCCTCCAGCCTGCGTCCCTGGACACGGTGACCCTGCGCCAAGGTGGCAAGCCCTTGGGTTTCGACGTGGTGCCTTCGTTTTGTGGCCATCATCAGTTGGCCGACATACGATTCGGGTCACCGGCGCACGCGTCCGGAGCTGTTCACAACGGCGATGAAATAGTTCAGGTATTGTACTATTAGGTAACATTTTATATAAAACATCTTTAAGTTAGAATTCAAGACGAATTCAAAACGAATTATTCAAGCCCAAACACAAGACAATTACTCCAAATAGTCAAGGAGATCCCTCGACTGTCTTCCGGCTTCATCATCAAGTCGAGTTCAACCACCGGCAAGTTGACGTAAATACCTGAATAACTTCAGAAAATATATGAATCACGCCGACTGTCCCTATAAAATTTGAAAGTTCCCCTCCACGATTTTTCTGGGTTTCCATTATCAGATCCTGACCTGGTGCATATGGGACCATCTGGAAATCATACCCTACAGAACACAAAAAAAAAACAATCCAAATCAGTCCAGGCGCCTCCGACTAATCGGTGAACATACATAAAAAATATATAAAAAAAAACCGGCCAAGTGCGAGTCGGACTCGCGCACCGAGGGTTCCGTACAAACCTGCAAGGTTTACAAAGTTCGTTCATTACGACAATCGAGTCGTAACTATGGTATTTTTTTTCTAGGTCGACTGGACCTTTAGGATTTGATTCCCTTGCGAGTACTTGCGAGCTTCAAAATATGCAGCTTAAATTGCTGTTTCTTTTGATTGCGTTGACATATAAGTTTGATTTTGTTACAGCTTAAAGGTATTATAGACCTGAGTATTTGGTATGAATTTCAATTTAATACCTCTACGCGTTTATGAGGAAATGGGTAGTAAGTTTAAAATTATTAAAAAAATATATATTATGTGATGTAACTAAAAATTTATGGTTTTCGTAATTTTTCCTTTATCTATGCTATAAGACGTTGCTTCGTACCAAATTTCAAGATTCTGAGTTCACGGGAAGCACCCTGTAGGTTTTGATTCCCTTGCAAGTGTCGAAAATTTGCGGCATAAACGGCTGTATCTTTTGATTGCGTTGGAAGTTTGATTTTTTCACAGCTTCAAGGGACAGTAGACCTGAGTAATTGATATAAATTTCAGCTTCATACCTCCACGCGTTCCTGAGAAAAAGGGTCTTGACAGTCGGACGGACAACAAAGTGATCCTATAAGGGTTCCGTTTTTTCCTTTTGAGGTAAGGAACCCTAAAAAGATCCCGACGAATTGAGAAACTCCTCCTTTTTTTTGAAGTCTGTTAAAAATGGGATGTCCTTGATGAATTTAATTTAATTTAAGTAGATATTTAAGATTGTCATAAGTATTGGTGAAGACTTAAACGATTTAGTACAAGTACCGTAAGTCTTTTTGCAGAATTTGAAAAAGAAGTGTGTCTAAATCTCATCACGAAAATGCTTCAGAAACTTGCAGCCACTGCGAAGCCACGACAATATAGGTAGTATTACAGTGGTCTAGCTCTTTCTCGCCAAATAATGCGTGTCCTCCGAGTGTCAATACATGTCACGCGCCTTATGCAATAATTAGGTAAGAAAAAGTCGTGTTCGTTACACTATTTATAACTTAAGAACGGCTGAACTGATTTGGGTGAAAATTGGACAATAGGATAGAGTACAGTAGGTACGGTAGGGTACGTAAGGTAGGGAAGGTAGTAGGTGTTATTAGGCTGGGGAGCGAGAGGTCGTCCCCGACCGCTGCCACTAAGGCTCGGCGGGGTTCATCCCACGATGGGCACACCTCTAGGGTGTGCTCTGCAGTATCCACCGCGGCGCCACAGTGGTGGCATTGTGGCGATTCCTCCCTCCCTATTCGGTGCAGGTACGATCCGAAGCAACCATGCTCGGACAGCACCTGTACCAAACGAAACGACAGGCAACCATGTTGCCGATCGAGCCAGTCGTTTAAGACGGGCCCTATGGCGTCCAGCGTCCGGCGGCCAAACTCTGCGGAGGCGAGTTCCTCAGCCCAGTGCCGAGTGATAGCCTCCCTCACCTCATCCCGCACATTTTCCCGTTCCCCAAGGCCCGGGGACCGGTTGAGCGCCCTCTGCTCCGCTGTCCAGTCGTACACCCTGGCGAGCACCCATGCCTCGAGCTCCCAAGGAGGGGTTCCCGCCAGAGCGCACGCCGCTGCGAAACCCACTGTGCGATATAGAAAGAAAGAAGAAAGAAAAGAAAAAACATTTATTTGAAACTCGCACAGAAAATAAATACAATTACATTTTATAAATAAAAAAAGAAAAAACAAACAAAAATAAACAAAACAACAACAAAAAAATATATTAAAATAAAATAAAAGACCTGTGCGAGGTCAAAAAGGCCACTATCTCAGCATATGCTGCGATAATTCACCAGTAGGTAAAAATACCGCAGCGCTGGTATTCTGATAGGGCCTGGTGATGCCACGGACACACTCACGGAACACAGAAACAGATTAACATATATAAATATATAGAGATATATAAATATTAGAAATATATAAAAATTATAAACAAAAAATAATAGTAATAAAATACCTACTAAAAATATTCTATAAGTAGTATACAAATATAAATGACAGAAAGATGTAGTTATGCCACAGAACAATACATCGACACCAACGCGTGCATGCCCGAGAGGGACAAACGTTACCTACCGGGTAACGTTTGTCCCTCTCTGTCATAGACAATCGATGGAATGTGCGGGCGCCCGTAGACACGCAGGCGCAGATATAGGGCATAGTCTGTGGCACCACTGGATTTGGTCGCATAGACTATAGTAGTAATATACTAGAGATAATGTTTAGTCGGCTGTCAGAGTACTTAAGAAAAGAACTCAGAAAAATAAACATACGTAAAAGTATTTCATACAAACATGCGTTCAGCATCAGAAAATAAATAAATAAAAATAGTTTTATTAATACAAAATAGAAAATTATGTGCAAACAAAACAATAATAATTCAGGTGACAAGTTTAGAAGTGTATAGGTAAAAATATGCCCTCGCCACCCGCTGTGCAATGGCCCTTTGTGGCCTGCGGATGGCGGCGACGTTCTCCCGTTTGCGTTGTGGAGAACAGACGTGCCACGGGGGAGGTTTCCTCGCAAGAGCCAGTCGAATCCGATGTTCCACAGGAGTGGTCTCGGACGATGGAGGGCCGTACGGGCGCCGCCCTGTACGGCCTGCCAAAGGGATCAGCGTCTAGGCCCTCAGCCATCTCCTCCCTCGCGCGATCCTGTGCTGCGCCTATTCTGGTCGTCAGCTCCCTCTTCGCCTCCACATAGGCCGCGTAGAGGTGGTCCTCGTTGGTTAGACAACTCCTCCGACCACCAGTAAACGGCGCGTCGAGGAGGTGGGCGGTGGGACCGATGCATGCTAGAGTTGCACACCTTGGTCAGGGAGTCCCTCAACTTAATCGCCGTGGCATCCACATCGTGGACGTTGACAGGAGACGACAGCCAGTCTTGGACGAACGCCGCCTCCTCTGCGGCCTCTCGGCCCAGGTGGGTCAGCGCCCACCGCGGGAAATGCGAGCGGTCCTCGCGCGCCCTTGGAGAGCCCTGTGTGGAGGTGTCGAAGCGTACGTATCGGTGGTCAGACAACGTCTCCGCCATTCCACTACACAGGCCGCCAAAGAAGGGGAGGCGAAGGCGAGGTCCACGATGGAGCCCCCCTCCCGCCGCACGCAGGTGTGTACTGTGCCTCTATTTAGGAGGGACAGACCGGACGATACGGACCAGGTCTCCACCTCGCGTCTACGAGCATCGGTAGTCGGGTTGCCCCATGCCACAGACTTGGCGTTGAAGTCGCCTACAACCAGCACCTGCCGCTGCGCCACCCTACCTGCCACCCTGGCCAGGATGTCGAGGAAGTTTTCGAACTCCGATAGAGGGCGGTTTGGGGAGAAATACATCCCTACTCGGGCCACGCCCCGCCAGTAGTGTGTGTGTGTGTGTAGGTGGGGTCGCAGTGCGTGATCGGGTGGAGCGGCGCGGGCGTGCTGCGGCAGTGCAGCGCGGCGGGGCCCGAGCTCACGCTGCGGCTGCGGCGCCGGGCCGCCGCCACGCTGGGGCCCGCGCTGCGCCCCGCGCTGGCGGCGCGCCGACTGCTGCGGCCCGCCCCGCCAGTAGTGTGTGTGTGTGTGTAGGTGGGGTCGCAGTGCGTGATCGGGTGGAGCGGCGCGGGCGTGCTGCGGCAGTGCAGCGCGGCGGGGCCCGAGCTCACGCTGCGGCTGCGGCGCCGGGCCGCCGCCACGCTGGGGCCCGCGCTGCGCCCCGCGCTGGCGGCGCGCCGACTGCTGCGGCCCGCCCCGCCAGTAGTGTGTGTGTGTGTGTAGGTGGGGTCGCAGTGCGTGATCGGGTGGAGCGGCGCGGGCGTGCTGCGGCAGTGCAGCGCGGCGGGGCCCGAGCTCACGCTGCGGCTGCGGCGCCGGGCCGCCGCCACGCTGGGGCCCGCGCTGCGCCCCGCGCTGGCGGCGCGCCGACTGCTGCGGCCCGCCCCGCCAGTAGTGTGTGTGTGTGTGTAGGTGGGGTCGCAGTGCGTGATCGGGTGGAGCGGCGCGGGCGTGCTGCGGCAGTGCAGCGCGGCGGGGCCCGAGCTCACGCTGCGGCTGCGGCGCCGGGCCGCCGCCACGCTGGGGCCCGCGCTGCGCCCCGCGCTGGCGGCGCGCCGACTGCTGCGGCCCGCCCCGCCAGTAGTGTGTGTGTGTGTGTAGGTGGGGTCGCAGTGCGTGATCGGGTGGAGCGGCGCGGGCGTGCTGCGGCAGTGCAGCGCGGCGGGGCCCGAGCTCACGCTGCGGCTGCGGCGCCGGGCCGCCGCCACGCTGGGGCCCGCGCTGCGCCCCGCGCTGGCGGCGCGCCGACTGCTGCGGCCCGCCCCGCCAGTAGTGTGTGTGTGTGTGTAGGTGGGGTCGCAGTGCGTGATCGGGTGGAGCGGCGCGGGCGTGCTGCGGCAGTGCAGCGCGGCGGGGCCCGAGCTCACGCTGCGGCTGCGGCGCCGGGCCGCCGCCACGCTGGGGCCCGCGCTGCGCCCCGCGCTGGCGGCGCGCCGACTGCTGCGGCCCGCCCCGCCGCCCCCGGCGCCGGCGCCCGCGCCGTCGTCGTCCGACGAGAGCGAGGCGCTGTCGCCGCCCGCGTCGCCCACGCAGCTTCAGCCGGACCACACGAGGTAAGCGCTCAGATCAGATAAGCGATATCCTCCGCTCGTGCTTTATTTCCCTACTACTCTATATGTTCACTGTTTTCAGAATATATCCTCCTAAGCCGAGGGCTGTTGTTCAGAGGCGGCATACGATAAGCGGTGACAGCTCTTTATATAAACGACCGAGTCATGCAATTGAACAGGTACTTATTACTTACTGCAATGAAAGTACCATTATAAGAAAATAGTATTACATCACGTGTTTTATTTGCTTTCTAGTTCTGGCAAGAGCTGAAGCAGCAGAGGTGGGGTCGCGAAGGAGGCAGTATCAGTATGTCGCCTGCACCGGACGATACCGCACTCTATGCTAGAGACAAGGTAATCTTATCTTACTAATGCGTGTATATGCGAGCGATTATACCAAGTAAATCATTTTAAAAGCTTCAATTCTAGTGATGCTTAGTAATACGTATAGCTTTTTGTACAAATGTTGTTAAAAGAGGATGCATTTATTGGGTAAGACAGATTATTGTAAGCCGGTTACATCGCGAATGTTGCAGGCGGTGTCGTGCAGTACGGGGCTGGAGCTGTCCCCCCGGCCGCGCACGTGCCTGGGCGTCGTACTGGACCGCGCGCGCCCCGCGCCCCCGCCCGCCCCGCCGGGGCCCGGCCTAGCGCCCTCGGGGCTCGGCCTGGCGCCCTCTGGCCCGCCGCCTACTGACGAGCCGTCACCCTCGGACCGCAATCGGGGCAAGTTGGACAAGAGTCACTCAACTCCGGCCTACGACTTCGACGCGAGTCTAGACGAGCCGGGCCCCCTAGCCGCGCAGACTATTCCCGAATCCCCCACCACACCCACGGATAGTCCACTGGCACTGCACTCGACCGACAAAGCAGACCGTATCCTCGACTTTAAGAAGTCAAGTTCTCAAATCGGTGAGGCGATACAACGTGGACGACGCAGTAATGCTGACGAAAGGTCATTGCCGACGGAACCTGAACCTCACGGCGAAGACGATATGTTTGCGGGCGAGCGAGACGAGACCGCCACGGAGCGGATACTCGAGACCATCAATATCGCCATGATGGAGCACCGGCGCCGTACGGAGCGCCCCGAGCCGGACTGCGACACCTACAGGTGGGGCTTCTCATCACATACTGCTGCTTTTTTAATTTGCATTGGTACATTTTGCTTGCCCTAGCTTGCACAAATATTCACTTAATAATTTGATTGCTCAAAAATCAACATTTTCTAAATAGAGGTGTAAGACTGAGCCATTAGCGAGTGTGTGCTACATTGCAGGAGCCAGGCTGCGCCCCGGCCCGCGCCCCCGCCGCGGCCGGGCGGGCTGGGCGCGCTGGGGGCGGGGGCGCGCCCCAGTGGGGGGCGTGCGCCCCCGCAGTTCCCCGTACTGCGCGCAGTGCCGCGCCCGGAGGAGCCCCCTACTTCGCCCCTCAAGCCGGTCAGACCTGTAGACGCTACACATGTAAGCTCAAATTCTTATCAGCCATGACTGTAGTGCTCGTAATAGTACATATTAATATTATGTTATCATACATACAGCAGGGATTTTGATGATTCAAGAAAAATAATATAATGATAAGGTCACCTCATATGCTGCAGCCGCAGATACTGATAAGGATCATTGCAACAACAGAGGAGGTACGAGTGCGTTGCCGAGATGTGGGGATTAGGCAGGGTTGGGGGAGAACAATGATTGTGCCTCCGGTGAGGCCGTGATATTATTCCGGTACAAGGCGACCTATTCGAGCCGAACCATGACTCTCCCATAGTCAAATATCAATCAATCAAATAAAATTTATTTTATTTACGTTTGCACATAAATATCTTATATTAGGTCTTACATTTTAATTAATCTAGGTAAATAACATTACGGTGTCTGTATAGAATTGAATCTGTACCACAGGCGTTACGGTCACTTTGTTACTGTTATGCTATGATTCCTCCTTAACAATATTTATTTTTATTCAGATAACTAACTTATAATTTACACATAATCATACATTTCATTTAGGAATACATTAAAACTTAACTATTACTATATTACTACCCAATTAAACCTATGTCTATTTAACCACAGTCAGCAACGCTCGGTTTCGTCGTAATTACGTGATTGTAAAACCTGAGACGTCCGCAGTTTTGCTCTGGCATAGTTTAGGTCGTATATGGGTGTTACTTTGTTTATTTTACTATACAAATATGGACCCAAAAAATGCAAAGAACCGGTTTGTAAACACAAACATAGTCTATCTTTATAGTACGTAGTTGGAAATATTTTCATTGTATATACGTTTTTGCATTATAGATATCAGTTCCTCTCCGTCATATAACAAAACACGACATTCGAGTAATTCCGAGTGAGCGCCATGAGATGCCAGCCATTAACAGTCCCGTGAGCGAGCCCGTGTCGAGCCCGGGCGCGGGCCCCGCGGGATCCCTGCGGCGGCGCTCGCCTGGGCCCCCGGCCGCGGGCCCCGCGGGGTCCCTGCGGCGGCGCTCGCCCGGGCCCCCGGCCGCCGGCGCCGGGGACATCGTCATGGGCGCCCACGTCAGCACCGACTCCTCCGGGAAAGGTCACGCCTTGTCGCCAACCAGTGCAGTGCGGGGCATCTTCCCTAACTCCAAGTCTAGGAGTTTGAAGAAGAAGAGTTCTATTCTCGCCAGTAAGTAAATACCTTTTAAATATTCATTCAGAAGACGCACACATAATTATCATCTAGGAAATAAATAGACGTGTAGTGTCCGCTGTGCGGGCTTAGTGTGGTTGCGGAGCGCGAGGTATGTGACTTGTGTATGTATGTAACGTGTGGTGCCGGCAGAGCGGCGCTGTGTGCCGGCGCGGGGGCGTCTGTATGTGACGTGTGTATGTATGTAACGTGTGGTGCCGGCAGAGCGGCGCTGTGTGCCGGCGCGGGGGCGTCTGTATGTGACGTGTGTATGTATGTAACGTGTGGTGCCGGCAGAGCGGCGCTGTGTGCCGGCGCGGGGGCGTCTGTATGTGACGTGTGTATGTATGTAACGTGTGGTGCCGGTAGAGCGGCGCTGTGTGCCGGCGCGGGGGCGTCTGTATGTGACGTGTGTATGTATGTAACGTGTGGTGCCGGCAGAGCGGCGCTGTGTGCCGGCGCGGGGGCGTCTGTATGTGACGTGTGTATGTATGTAACGTGTGGTGCCGGCAGAGCGGCGCTGTGTGCCGGCGCGGGGGCGTCTGTATGTGACGTGTGTATGTATGTAACGTGTGGTGCCGGCAGAGCGGCGCTGTGTGCCGGCGCGGGGGCGTCTGTATGTGACGTGTGTATGTATGTAACGTGTGGTGCCGGCAGAGCGGCGCTGTGTGCCGGCGCGGGGGCGTCTGTATGTGACGTGTGTATGTATGTAACGTGTGGTGCCGGCAGAGCGGCGCTGTGTGCCGGCGCGGGGGCGTCTGTATGTGACGTGTGTATGTATGTAACGTGTGGTGCCGGCAGAGCGGCGCTGTGTGCCGGCGCGGGGGCGTCTGTATGTGACGTGTGTATGTATGTAACGTGTGGTGCCGGCAGAGCGGCGCTGTGTGCCGGCGCGGGGGCGTCTGTATGTGACGTGTGTATGTATGTAACGTGTGGTGCCGGCAGAGCGGCGCTGTGTGCCGGCGCGGGGGCGTCTGTATGTGACGTGTGTATGTATGTAACGTGTGGTGCCGGCAGAGCGGCGCTGTGTGCCGGCGCGGGGGCGTCTGTATGTGACGTGTGTATGTATGTAACGTGTGGTGCCGGCAGAGCGGCGCTGTGTGCCGGCGCGGGGGCGTCTGTATGTGACGTGTGTATGTATGTAACGTGTGGTGCCGGCAGAGCGGCGCTGTGTGCCGGCGCGGGGGCGTCTGTATGTGACGTGTGTATGTATGTAACGTGTGGTGCCGGCAGAGCGGCGCTGTGTGCCGGCGCGGGGGCGTCTGTATGTGACGTGTGTATGTATGTAACGTGTGGTGCCGGCAGAGCGGCGCTGTGTGCCGGCGCGGGGGCGTCTGTATGTGACGTGTGTATGTATGTAACGTGTGGTGCCGGCAGAGCGGCGCTGTGTGCCGGCGCGGGGGCGTCTGTATGTGACGTGTGTATGTATGTAACGTGTGGTGCCGGCAGAGCGGCGCTGTGTGCCGGCGCGGGGGCGTCTGTATGTGACGTGTGTATGTATGTAACGTGTGGTGCCGGCAGAGCGGCGCTGTGTGCCGGCGCGGGGGCGTCTGTATGTGACGTGTGTATGTATGTAACGTGTGGTGCCGGCAGAGCGGCGCTGTGTGCCGGCGCGGGGGCGTCTGTATGTGACGTGTGTATGTATGTAACGTGTGGTGCCGGCAGAGCGGCGCTGTGTGCCGGCGCGGGGGCGTCTGTATGTGACGTGTGTATGTATGTAACGTGTGGTGCCGGCAGAGCGGCGCTGTGTGCCGGCGCGGGGGCGTCTGTATGTGACGTGTGTATGTATGTAACGTGTGGTGCCGGCAGAGCGGCGCTGTGTGCCGGCGCGGGGGCGTCTGTATGTGACGTGTGTATGTATGTAACGTGTGGTGCCGGCAGAGCGGCGCTGTGTGCCGGCGCGGGGGCGTCTGTATGTGACGTGTGTATGTATGTAACGTGTGGTGCCGGCAGAGCGGCGCTGTGTGCCGGCGCGGGGGCGTCTGTATGTGACGTGTGTATGTATGTAACGTGTGGTGCCGGCAGAGCGGCGCTGTGTGCCGGCGCGGGGGCGTCTGTATGTGACGTGTGTATGTATGTAACGTGTGGTGCCGGCAGAGCGGCGCTGTGTGCCGGCGCGGGGGCGTCTGTATGTGACGTGTGTATGTATGTAACGTGTGGTGCCGGCAGAGCGGCGCTGTGTGCCGGCGCGGGGGCGTCTGTATGTGACGTGTGTATGTATGTAACGTGTGGTGCCGGCAGAGCGGCGCTGTGTGCCGGCGCGGGGGCGTCTGTATGTGACGTGTGTATGTATGTAACGTGTGGTGCCGGCAGAGCGGCGCTGTGTGCCGGCGCGGGGGCGTCTGTATGTGACGTGTGTATGTATGTAACGTGTGGTGCCGGCAGAGCGGCGCTGTGTGCCGGCGCGGGGGCGTCTGTATGTGACGTGTGTATGTATGTAACGTGTGGTGCCGGCAGAGCGGCGCTGTGTGCCGGCGCGGGGGCGTCTGTATGTGACGTGTGTATGTATGTAACGTGTGGTGCCGGCAGAGCGGCGCTGTGTGCCGGCGCGGGGGCGTCTGTATGTGACGTGTGTATGTATGTAACGTGTGGTGCCGGCAGAGCGGCGCTGTGTGCCGGCGCGGGGGCGTCTGTATGTGACGTGTGTTTGTATGTAACGTGTGGTGCCGGCAGAGCGGCGCTGTGTGCCGGCGCGGGGGCGTCTGTATGTGACGTGTGTATGTATGTAACGTGTGGTGCCGGCAGAGCGGCGCTGTGTGCCGGCGCGGGGGCGTCTGTATGTGACGTGTGTATGTATGTAACGTGTGGTGCCGGCAGAGCGGCGCTGTGTGCCGGCGCGGGGGCGTCTGTATGTGACGTGTGTATGTATGTAACGTGTGGTGCCGGCAGAGCGGCGCTGTGTGCCGGCGCGGGGGCGTCTGTATGTGACGTGTGTATGTATGTAACGTGTGGTGCCGGCAGAGCGGCGCTGTGTGCCGGCGCGGGGGCGTCTGTATGTGACGTGTGTATGTATGTAACGTGTGGTGCCGGTAGAGCGGCGCTGTGTGCCGGCGCGGGGGCGTCTGTATGTGACGTGTGTATGTATGTAACGTGTGGTGCCGGCAGAGCGGCGCTGTGTGCCGGCGCGGGGGCGTCTGTATGTGACGTGTGTATGTATGTAACGTGTGGTGCCGGCAGAGCGGCGCTGTGTGCCGGCGCGGGGGCGTCTGTATGTGACGTGTGTATGTATGTAACGTGTGGTGCCGGCAGAGCGGCGCTGTGTGCCGGCGCGGGGGCGTCTGTATGTGACGTGTGTATGTATGTAACGTGTGGTGCCGGCAGAGCGGCGCTGTGTGCCGGCGCGGGGGCGTCTGTATGTGACGTGTGTATGTATGTAACGTGTGGTGCCGGTAGAGCGGCGCTGTGTGCCGGCGCGGGGGCGTCTGTATGTGACGTGTGTATGTATGTAACGTGTGGTGCCGGCAGAGCGGCGCTGTGTGCCGGCGCGGGGGCGTCTGTATGTGACGTGTGTATGTATGTAACGTGTGGTGCCGGCAGAGCGGCGCTGTGTGCCGGCGCGGGGGCGTCTGTATGTGACGTGTGTATGTATGTAACGTGTGGTGCCGGCAGAGCGGCGCTGTGTGCCGGCGCGGGGGCGTCTGTATGTGACGTGTGTATGTATGTAACGTGTGGTGCCGGCAGAGCGGCGCTGTGTGCCGGCGCGGGGGCGTCTGTATGTGACGTGTGTATGTATGTAACGTGTGGTGCCGGCAGAGCGGCGCTGTGTGCCGGCGCGGGGGCGTCTGTATGTGACGTGTGTATGTATGTAACGTGTGGTGCCGGCAGAGCGGCGCTGTGTGCCGGCGCGGGGGCGTCTGTATGTGACGTGTGTATGTATGTAACGTGTGGTGCCGGCAGAGCGGCGCTGTGTGCCGGCGCGGGGGCGTCTGTATGTGACGTGTGTATGTATGTAACGTGTGGTGCCGGCAGAGCGGCGCTGTGTGCCGGCGCGGGGGCGTCTGTATGTGACGTGTGTATGTATGTAACGTGTGGTGCCGGCAGAGCGGCGCTGTGTGCCGGCGCGGGGGCGTCTGTATGTGACGTGTGTATGTATGTAACGTGTGGTGCCGGCAGAGCGGCGCTGTGTGCCGGCGCGGGGGCGTCTGTATGTGACGTGTGTATGTATGTAACGTGTGGTGCCGGCAGAGCGGCGCTGTGTGCCGGCGCGGGGGCGTCTGTATGTGACGTGTGTATGTATGTAACGTGTGGTGCCGGCAGAGCGGCGCTGTGTGCCGGCGCGGGGGCGTCTGTATGTGACGTGTGTATGTATGTAACGTGTGGTGCCGGCAGAGCGGCGCTGTGTGCCGGCGCGGGGGCGTCTGTATGTGACGTGTGTATGTATGTAACGTGTGGTGCCGGCAGAGCGGCGCTGTGTGCCGGCGCGGGGGCGTCTGTATGTGACGTGTGTATGTATGTAACGTGTGGTGCCGGCAGAGCGGCGCTGTGTGCCGGCGCGGGGGCGTCTGTATGTGACGTGTGTATGTATGTAACGTGTGGTGCCGGCAGAGCGGCGCTGTGTGCCGGCGCGGGGGCGTCTGTATGTGACGTGTGTATGTATGTAACGTGTGGTGCCGGCAGAGCGGCGCTGTGTGCCGGCGCGGGGGCGTCTGTATGTGACGTGTGTATGTATGTAACGTGTGGTGCCGGCAGAGCGGCGCTGTGTGCCGGCGCGGGGGCGTCTGTATGTGACGTGTGTATGTATGTAACGTGTGGTGCCGGCAGAGCGGCGCTGTGTGCCGGCGCGGGGGCGTCTGTATGTGACGTGTGTATGTATGTAACGTGTGGTGCCGGCAGAGCGGCGCTGTGTGCCGGCGCGGGGGCGTCTGTATGTGACGTGTGTATGTATGTAACGTGTGGTGCCGGCAGAGCGGCGCTGTGTGCCGGCGCGGGGGCGTCTGTATGTGACGTGTGTATGTATGTAACGTGTGGTGCCGGCAGAGCGGCGCTGTGTGCCGGCGCGGGGGCGTCTGTATGTGACGTGTGTATGTATGTAACGTGTGGTGCCGGCAGAGCGGCGCTGTGTGCCGGCGCGGGGGCGTCTGTATGTGACGTGTGTATGTATGTAACGTGTGGTGCCGGCAGAGCGGCGCTGTGTGCCGGCGCGGGGGCGTCTGTATGTGACGTGTGTATGTATGTAACGTGTGGTGCCGGCAGAGCGGCGCTGTGTGCCGGCGCGGGGGCGTCTGTATGTGACGTGTGTATGTATGTAACGTGTGGTGCCGGCAGAGCGGCGCTGTGTGCCGGCGCGGGGGCGTCTGTATGTGACGTGTGTATGTATGTAACGTGTGGTGCCGGCAGAGCGGCGCTGTGTGCCGGCGCGGGGGCGTCTGTATGTGACGTGTGTATGTATGTAACGTGTGGTGCCGGCAGAGCGGCGCTGTGTGCCGGCGCGGGGGCGTCTGTATGTGACGTGTGTATGTATGTAACGTGTGGTGCCGGCAGAGCGGCGCTGTGTGCCGGCGCGGGGGCGTCTGTATGTGACGTGTGTATGTATGTAACGTGTGGTGCCGGCAGAGCGGCGCTGTGTGCCGGCGCGGGGGCGTCTGTATGTGACGTGTGTATGTATGTAACGTGTGGTGCCGGCAGAGCGGCGCTGTGTGCCGGCGCGGGGGCGTCTGTATGTGACGTGTGTATGTATGTAACGTGTGGTGCCGGCAGAGCGGCGCTGTGTGCCGGCGCGTGCGCTGGCGCAGCGAGCGGCGGCGGGGGCCGTGTGGCAGCGCGTGCGGCCCGGGGGCGCGGGGGGCGCGGGAGGCGGGGGCGCGGGGGGCGCGGGGGCGCCGCCCGTCCGCTGGGCGCGGCGCCAGCTGGTCCTGGCGCACAACCTGCTGTACTGCTACCGGTCGATGCAGTGCACGAAGGCGGCGTGCATGGTGTACCTGGAGGGGTTCACGGTGTCTGCGGCGCCGGAGGTCAAGTCTCGTGCGCACGCGTTCAAGGTGTACCACACGGGCACGGCCTTCTACTTCGCCAGCGACACGCGGGACGCGCAGCTCGCATGGATACAGCTCATACACCGCGCCACGCTACTGCCCTCGCTCGCCGCCAACGTGAGTCTCCATTTTTTTTTTCTCAATTATGATTTACTATGGTAACATATATTTTTTTTTCACCATCGGAAAGTAGAGATTTCGTCGAACAGAAACCATACCAACTTTTTGAAAAAATCTGATAATTTGACGGGTGAATTTTCGATCCAAAATTATGGTGTTTTTTCGATATTAATTCAAAATAAGGTGAAAAAATAAATAATTTTAATCAAATAAATTACAACGTATTTGGGACATAAAAAGGTAAGTTTACACAAAATTTCGTTAAAAAAATAAAATTTTTGTAGAAGATAAAAATAAAAAACCAAAAACTTGGTTTTTTGAAGTTTTCATATAAATTTTGAGGTTATGTGAAAAACTTTTCCATTTGACTTTTTTCGATAGGACTTTTACTTTTGCTGGAAATCGAGAAAAACCGTTTTACACTTAAAACCTCCCCCCCACCCCCTTCCCAACCTCAGATCTTTTTTGTTTTCTCAGATCTTTTGTTTAGTAAATTATTTTTTTGCCTTTCATTTTTATCATATTTCCCTCCTTTTCTAATGGGTTACATCCTATTATGTTTTTTTTTGGTTTTAAAAATTATCTATTATTATTTATTTGTTTCTAAAAAGAAGCTACCTATATTAGTATAGGTAGCTTCTTTTTTTTTTGTTCAATATCAGAATTAATTATTTGATTGAATCAGTTAGAGTTTTTTCGCGGTTTCAGTTCATTTCATATCACTAATTTCAATTTCATTTCTGATAGTAAAAAATACTATAGTCAGACTTTTAATTCGATTCCTGATTTGACATTGACCACTGTCATTTTGTGAAATAATGATACCACATATAAAAGTGTAGTGATGAACACAAAAATCGATAAACAATCAGTGAATCAGTTTCAGGAAGGCATTCAAAAAATTACGGCTATCGAATGGTCTAAATGTGTATCCTATATTTTAAAAGAAGAGGAAAAAATGAGTAAGCTAGATATGTTAATTGACAATAAATATCAAAGACACAATTCATAATAAATGTTACATAGAGTAACGGCGATAGCGATAGCGATGACGGCGACAATTTATAAATGTCTGTTTTATTTGTCACGTTCCTTCATGATCACATTTTTTATTAATTTCACACACAATTACAAAAGAAAAGCCTCAGATCGTTATTTAATTGTCAAAACTAAATTATCGGTTCAGAATTTTTTTATTTCCTGATAAACTTAGTTTACAAGATTAAATTTATAAACAAGAGGAATCGATTCAGAAATATTCGATTTCCATATCGAATAATTTCGCAACGTCACTATTTATTACGTGTCATAACGTTGCAACACTGAAATTGTCAAATCTGGAATGGAATTAAAATTCCGAGTATAAGTACTAAAGACTTGGCTGTATGGGCAGTTCCCTTTGCCTACCAGAATGGGTGAAAAAACTGGTTACATTCTACGGTCGGCGCCATTTTACAAAATTTTCTTTGCGCGAATTTAGTTGTTTTTTTACATAAAATGAGTGATTTCGATTAAATTGCTTAATTTTTTCGCAACTGTAATATAAATAGTCGTTCAGTACACGTACGGAACCTTCATTGCGACTCGTTCCGACTGTACACCCTCGCCTTCGGCTCGGGTAGACATTTGTCGGAACTCTTTGCAAAGACAGCCATTACGTACTAGTAATGAAATATACTATTCCAGAATTCCGAATTTGCAACGGCATACTTTTAACGTGGCATAATTACGATTATCATATTTAATATTATAGTTTCGTTTACCATTATGTTTATTTAGTAAAATCTGCCAACTTCTAACTTTCTTAAGGCAATTCGTTACTTCAGAGGTACAAGCCGTAATTAGCAAGGTTGATTTATTACATTCCTTGAAATTAAAAAATAAGGTTTCATTGATGACCGCTTCCAAAAATAAGAGGCTTCCTTCTTCCCATAGCATATACAGCATTGCTTTTTTTCAGAAAAGTCGTCTTAACGCATGATGCTTTGCACTCTTTGAAATCGAGGGTGGAATAAGTACAAGTTCTCGTGTGAATGTTCGCAGATGGACTTGTCAAAGCAGTTCTCTGAGACCGACTACTCGGAGACGGAGTCGGACGCGGAGAGCCCGCAGAACGAGCCCCGCGAGCGCGACAAGGACAAGGACAAGTCCAAGTTCGGGTCGCTGAAGAAGCTGACGCACCGCATGCAGCGCGCCGACCCCGACGCGCCGCACTCCTCCACCTCGCTCGACCGCAAGTATCTGCGCTTCTTCTACAGGAACAAGCCCAAGGACGACGCCAAGCCCAAGGTGCAAACAGCTTACTATTTCTTGTCCCAGTAATCCCCGCTAACAACTATGGATGTGGCTTTACTATCCTTGAATAACATATTTTGCAGAACAAACAATCCGGAGTCCCAGTACCTACCGAGCACTACCGCAGTTACCGACGCGTGGCGAGCCCCACGGCTTCCGCAGCGTCTGCGTCGGGGTCGGGGCTGGACGGGGTCGGCGAAGCGGCCCCCGCGGCCCCGCGCCTGCCCAAGCCCATCAACTATATTCACGCCTCTAACCCTAACCTGCTGGACTTCGATAACAGCGACTTCGTTACCAAGCCCACGCTGCACGTGCCCAAGCCTAAAGCTAAAGTGAGTCACATGTTTATTCAATCTTCGTACCCTTGAGCAAAATGCTTGAGAAGATGTTGTTTTAAGTTATACGTGTTTTCTGCGTAGCAGCATTTGTAAGTGGCATGCAGTAGGACTGCGGTCTCTAGAGTAGTGGATGTGAGAGTGTGCAGAGGGGGTGGGACTGACTGGCTGGACAGGCTTCTCCCAGTCGTGAAGTTTCTTTTGCGGCTTGAGTCACTCTATCTCCTGCATCAAATTCACCAAGTGAAGCGCCGCCGGTCGCTTCTCCTTAAATATCTTACAAATTTTGTTGCGGGACTTAATACAGTTAAATAATGTTCCTGGTATGTGTCGGACTTCAGTCTCTTCAAGGTTGTATCAACTGTAGAGCCTGGCTTACAGGAGTTGCAGCGGTGTTGTGGTGTTGTAACAGTTTGTCCATTGAAGAGTTGTGTGTGCAGGGTGACGGGGTGGGCCTGGTGACGCTGGAGCAGTTCATGCTGGACAAGCAGGCGGAGGAGCGCCGCGCCAGGTACAGTGGTCGCGTCCTGCTGGGGGTCGAGCATGCCCGGGGGCGGGACCTGCGCGCGCGTCTGCAGCATGTCGGTGAGTCATACTGACTGGCGGGTTGGGACTCAAGGAGGACCCAACGGGTACCATGTGTGACCCGTATCCGCATTGAAAGCACACGGGTTACTATACCGTAGGTACTTGATTATTTGATTTTGCTGAATTGGTACATAGCAAAGTACAGTCACGGGTCAGTTAGTCCCGCAAGGCTGTCGCCAGTAGTAGTGTTTAGCACTACGTGGCGTGATCTTAGACGTACGACTGAGTGTGTTACAGTGCCGGACGTACGACTGAGTGTGTTACAGTGCCGGACGTACGACTGAGTGTGTTACAGTGCCGGACGTACGACTGAGTGTGTTACAGTGCCGGACGTACGACTGAGTGTGCTTACAGTGCCGGACGTACGACTGAGTGTGTTACAGTGCCGGACGTACGACTGAGTGTGTTACAGTGCCGGACGTACGACTGAGTGTGTTACAGTGCCGGACGTACGACTGAGTGTGTTACAGTGCCGGACGTACGACTGAGTGTGTTACAGTGCCGGACGTACGACTGAGTGTGTTACAGTGCCGGACGTACGACTGAGTGTGTTACAGTGCCGGACGTACGACTGAGTGTGTTACAGTGCCGGACGTACGACTGAGTGTGCTTACAGTGCCGGACGTACGACTGAGTGTGCTTACAGTGCCGGACGTACGACTGAGTGTGTTACAGTGCCGGACGTACGACTGTATGTGTTACAGTGCCGGACGTACGACTGAGTGTGTTACAGTGCCGGACGTACGACTGAGTGTGTTACAGTGCCGGACGTACGACTGAGTGTGTTACAGTGCCGGACGTACGACTGAGTGTGTTACAGTGCCGGACGTACGACTGAGTGTGCTTACAGTGCCGGACGTACGACTGAGTGTGTTACAGTGCCGGACGTACGACTGTATGTGTTACAGTGCCGGACGCACGACTGAGTGTGTTACAGTGCCGGACGTACGACTGAGTGTGTTACAGTGCCGGACGTACGACTGAGTGTGTTACAGTGCCGGACGTACGACTGAGTGTGTTACAGTGCCGGACGTACGACTGAGTGTGTTACAGTGCCGGACGTACGACTGAGTGTGTTACAGTGCCGGACGTACGACTGAGTGTGTTACAGTGCCGGACGTACGACTGAGTGTGTTACAGTGCCGGACGTACGACTGAGTGTGTTACAGTGCCGGACGTACGACTGAGTGTGTTACAGTGCCGGACGTACGACTGAGTGTGTTACAGTGCCGGACGTACGACTGAGTGTGTTACAGTGCCGGACGTACGACTGAGTGTGTTACAGTGCCGGACGTACGACTGAGTGTGTTACAGTGCCGGACGTACGACTGAGTGTGTTACAGTGCCGGACGTACGACTGAGTGTGTTACAGTGCCGGACGTACGACTGAGTGTGCTTACAGTGCCGGACGTACGACTGAGTGTGTTACAGTGCCGGACGTACGACTGTATGTGTTACAGTGCCGGACGTACGACTGAGTGTGTTACAGTGCCGGACGTACGACTGAGTGTGTTACAGTGCCGGACGTACGACTGAGTGTGTTACAGTGCCGGACGTACGACTGAGTGTGTTACAGTGCCGGACGTACGACTGAGTGTGTTACAGTGCCGGACGTACGACTGAGTGTGTTACAGTGCCGGACGTACGACTGAGTGTGTTACAGTGCCGGACGTACGACTGAGTGTGTTACAGTGCCGGACGTACGACTGAGTGTGTTACAGTGCCGGACGTACGACTGAGTGTGTTACAGTGCCGGACGTACGACTGAGTGTGTTACAGTGCCGGACGTACGACTGAGTGTGTTACAGTGCCGGACGTACGACTGAGTGTGTTACAGTGCCGGACGTACGACTGAGTGTGTTACAGTGCCGGACGTACGACTGAGTGTGTTACAGTGCCGGACGTACGACTGAGTGTGTTACAGTGCCGGACGTACGACTGAGTGTGTTACAGTGCCGGACGTACGACTGAGTGTGTTACAGTGCCGGACGTACGACTGAGTGTGTTACAGTGCCGGACGTACGACTGAGTGTGTTACAGTGCCGGACGTACGACTGAGTGTGTTACAGTGCCGGACGTACGACTGAGTGTGTTACAGTGCCGGACGTACGACTGAGTGTGTTACAGTGCCGGACGTACGACTGAGTGTGTTACAGTGCCGGACGTACGACTGAGTGTGTTACAGTGCCGGACGTACGACTGAGTGTGTTACAGTGCCGGACGTACGACTGAGTGTGTTACAGTGCCGGACGTACGACTGAGTGTGTTACAGTGCCGGACGTACGACTGAGTGTGCTTACAGTGCCGGACGTACGACTGAGTGTGTTACAGTGCCGGACGTACGACTGAGTGTGTTACAGTGCCGGACGTACGACTGAGTGTGTTACAGTGCCGGACGTACGACTGAGTGTGTTACAGTGCCGGACGTACGACTGAGTGTGTTACAGTGCCGGACGTACGACTGAGTGTGTTACAGTGCCGGACGTACGACTGAGTGTGTTACAGTGCCGGACGTACGACTGAGTGTGCTTACAGTGCCGGACGTACGACTGAGTGTGTTACAGTGCCGGACGTGATCTACGGCGAGCTGGGCGCGGCGGACGGCGGGGCGCGGACCTCGGCGCGGGACTCTCACGGGTGAGGACCTTTCTACATGTTTCTGCTTCGAAATAATGCCACCAGGTGATCCGTGGTCTAGTTGTCCGATCTAGCCTATAGCGTTGTATGGGTATGTGAGGTTTATGAATTCTATTGATATGAATATTGTGAAATTCCAGCTATGAAAAGATAGTGTACCGAGATGAGGCTACTAGTAGCAGCTCGGCGCATGGCGCGCCAGCAGCCAGCCCCCCGCCGGCGGGGCCCGCCCCCCCCACGCCCGGGGGGCCGGGGCAGGGGTCGGGGCCGGGGCCGGGGCCGGCGGCGGGCGCGCGGCGCGGGCCGGCCGGGGAGCGCTGGCGGGACTCGCTGCGCCGGAACGACAAGGTGGGGACACTGTACTCTCGTTGCACACCTCCACACGGGACGATTGGCCATGAAATACGATACTCTTACATCCGTTAATTACACCAAATGATTTATTGCTTATCTGTAACTATACATATGTCAGGATAGGCATCTCAAAGTAAATAAAGTGAACTCATGGGTTGCTAGGGCTTGGCGTACCTCAGGGCTCAATATTAGGTCCTTTCCTCTTTTTGCTTTATATAAATGAGTTATCCCATTAATTTCGACGTGAACCGGGAATGGTAGTATTTGCTGAAGACATATCGTTGATTTTTAGCTATTCACAATTTAAGTCGTTGCGAATCTCTTAGAGAAAAGTTTAAATATATTATGACTGTGCCATGTTAGTTTACTTATGACAACATTATATATGTTAGGAAAAACTTCCAATTATTAGGTAAGGTGTCAGACAGAGATAATTTGATTATTATGTTTTCCATTATTTAGATTCTCAAAGGTACATAAATTGTTCATGGGATTAAATGTTTATAAATAACAAAATCGCAGGTGAAATACAACTATTAAAAGAAAGTAATTTTAAGTTATGCATAAAGAAAAATTTGTAAATGTGAGCTACGTTGGCGGTGGCACGGGCAATGGATCGCTCGGTTCCCTACAATATGGTGGGTGCTGGTGTACCTGTCATGTTCGTGAACGGACGCCGCCTATTGGGACTGGTCATTTCCAGGCTGTCTAAATATGCTGTCCTTGAGGTTCACTTCTCTTTCCAATTCTTTGCCTAAACATTAGTGTTACACTGTTACATATTATCTGAACCGACTGAATGATGTAACAAAGAAATGTATTTTAAAATAGATTGAAAATAAGTAACCGTGGAGTTTCTTGCTCGTTCTTCTCCATAGGAATCTAAATTTTGGAACAAGCAGCTTCACTAAGATGACTAACCGAGAGACTGTCACCTTTCATCTTTAAACTATGTTTCTTTAAATCTTTACAGATCTCATTGAAATAAATGATTTAGATGTTGATTTTGACTTTAAGTGTAATGTCCGCAGGTGCACTGGAGTCGTGCCGAGCCGAAACCCGCGCCGCTAGACAGGTAACTACCGAGTTATTTCACTATGTAGTATCACTGAGCTGTATACACATAATATTCGTATACAAACGTACAGCGAACACGTCTGAACAGATACAATACGCAATACATTATAACACACATACACAAAGAAATTTATGGGAATTATTAACTAATATAAAATAAAATTGAAACAGAAATTTAGCTTAATCACAAATTTATATTTGTCATGAACCTTTTGACCGCCATCGCCAGAGCAAATACACACAGACCTGCCCTCAACGCCAAGTCACAAAGTTCGCGCAAATACCTACGAAAGAAATAGGGATTCCAATACTACATACATATTCAATTATAAATATTTTTATTTTCGTCTCGGATTTCAAAATAACATGGAAATTTAATCCAAAAATACACTTCCTCGTATTATAGTAACTGTTCTACATTATTTACACTTGTCCCGTATATGTAAGTGACAATGGCGCTCAAAATATTAAGTAAAATTTTTGTTTCTCATAGTATTAACTATTATAATTTGGTATTTAACGTATTCGAAAACTATTTATGCCTTCAAAAGTTAGTATCAATGTAAAATTGACACTTAGTGACTTTAGTATGAACAAAAGTTTTACACACAATTTTTATGATTTATATATAGATAAGATATATATTAAGTACATGTGAATAATGATGTCCCGTTGTACAGAAGGTACCCGCACCTGCAATGTCCGCCCACGTTCCAGCCGGAGACGTACTCCTTGCTGCGCCCCCCCCACCACTAGCGCCCCCCCACCACTACGCCGCATCGGGTTACTGTCGCCGCTGAATACCTACATATCTACGCATTCTATTGTTAATGTACAGCGTAAGTGTGTCGCAAACCTCGCGTGTAACAGTATGGATATGTAACTAACATTATTTCGAATTATATATTAGTTATGGTTTTGACTTAGCCTAATCACATTCAATTCAATTGAATAAAAACATCAAATTCAATCACACAATCCCACATTCACAAAGAATGTAACAAACATAACTTTTATATATGTATTAAGAAATAATCTTGTGTATAGTGTTGACTCATTGAAAAACCTACAAGTGAACTGTATAACAACTGTTAATTCTTAGTAATTACATATCCCATCGAGCTGGGCCCCTCGCCCCTCGCTCTCCCTATGACTGATTGTTGCTATGTTATTTGAAATGAATACAGTGCTTTACCATTCAGATAGAGTACTATCGGTTGGCCATGATAACTTTTCTCCTTTATGTAATTCCTCACTTGTATTTATTTTTATCTTCTTTTTGTATGTCCTCTTACTTACTATTCAAATTTAACACTCGCTATATCTCATTTGTTTATCCCATCTTATTACACGTATATAGGTAGGTACATCTTACGATCTTATTCCATAGGAATCCGCTGCGGCGCCCTACTCTCTGTACTGTATAATTTTTTTAAAGCAATCCCATACATGCGACACACTTATGCAATGATCATTTTAGTTTGTAGTAATAAAACAGGCGCCTAAAGAAATAAATACATATAATAATTAGTAAACTATGAGGACATCTCAGGGAAATGAAGTAGAGTCTGCGGTGCTTTGACGTTGCGTTATTTAACAATCGCACGCTGCCGTGTGATGTGACGTCATTACGTTGCTTTTATATAATTTGTGGTATGTTTGTATGTGTAGGAATTGTATAACGGACACCACAAGTTAGTAGATAGGTAATAAATATTATTGTAACGTTATATCATAAATATTACTATGTAAATTGGCAAGCAATACACACGAGGCACTTCCGTACCGCCTCGGTACCTTGTAACATACTTTATATGATATCCAAATATTAGATAGGTACTTAATACTCTTACTTATTAGATGTTAAGCATAACTAGGAGGTTCCCAGCAGATCATACCGTCTCATCTGGTTGGTTGTAAGATCACTTCGTTGTTACAACTAAAACAGAACTACTTCTATTGTACTGAGAATAAGAAAGTATTTACATTTTACATAGTTAGTAATGAAATGAGTTATGTAAGTATGCTTTAGATAGTATAGAGCCAAAGGACTCGCAGGTGCTGAGTGAGACTGCGCAGAGTGCGCAGGGCTCCGTGTACAAAGTCGGACAAGGCTGAATCAGATATTTTATATCAATTAGATAGATATATTGTGCACACGTTACTTCAAATATTTGTGAATTTTTATACAAACATGGCTTCCAACTCTTGACCATTGTGTCTGACAATATTCTGTTCACATCGCAGATGTTGTAAAGTTTAAATATAAAATGAATTATTGTTAATTTTCAAATGAAGACTGCATGGTGCATGGTTTAGCACGAGTACTGCCGCAGCTGTCTACTGTACAGTACTGACTGTCCTGGTGGTATACACTAACTTAGTATACAATTATACATATCGGCCTCGGTTTCATTATTTATCTTCGTACAGGCGACTAGCTGTAACATGTATAGTGTACACAGACGTACTGGGCACAATGTTACTGACCAGCCGACTGTTCCGAAGAATATGATTTTATTAGATGTGATAAGTATAATATTGTCGTCCTATGTTATCTCGTACGCGTCCACTATGTACGTACATCTGTAATACTTACAACGTTACAAACGGCTATTAAATATATTTTATACAAAAGTGGCATTTTATTAACATTCTCCTTGCCTACTCCTCACCTCCTTATCACTGTACCCTAATACCGCTAATGGTTCCATAATATGCCCCTACATGTAAAGTAGAGAGTGTTTTTTTAATTTCAACTCTATTGTGTGATGTGTTATTGGATAGAATAGGGGTTTATTTACCTAGAACCTACATTTATTTATAATATTAATATTTTCGAAAATAATTCCCCTTAATGTAAAAACACGCGCCAATCTCAAAAGTAAGACATTATACTTTGTAGAGAAAATATTTTGATAAATTGTACAAAAAACAATCTGAACAATTTTTGTAATTAAACCGTAAATACAAGGATTTTTATCTTTGTATATTTTAATATTGTGAACGTATCTACAAATAATAAAAAATAATATTAAAATCGGTGTCCGCAATCCAAAATTACCACTAAAGAATTAACATACTTAACCCAATTCACTAAGAGATGGCGCTGTAAGTTTGCTACTCAATAACTCTTAAGTTGGGACGCTTATTTATTATGACTGACGGGAAAGTTACGGAACCCTTCATTGAGAGTAGCTCGAAACGCTCAGTTATTACAATATTTTTCCATTTTTTTATTAAACTGCTTTGTCTGCGTGATTGATAATACATAATAGTGCCAAATTCCAGCTTTCTAGTGCTAACGGTCAGTGACATTGTCCGCGGACGGACATACAGACATACAGACATGGCGAAACTATATTACTGATAAGTTTATAAATAAAGTAGCTATACATACAACTGTAAATCAATTTTACGAGACCTCTACCGTCACATATATCAACATAATCTTCTATATCTATACTTATAATAAATCTGTAGAGGGGTCAATTCTGTACATTAAATATATTTTCAAAATAAGTACCAGGGGGTGATAACTGATCGATACTAATGCCAAAAATGCAATCAGTGAAATTTTTGTCTGTCTGTATGCCTGTATGTTCCTTAGAAACAAAAACTACTCTACGGATTTTAACAAAACTTGCTACAATTATTCTTTATACTCCAGGGAGTATAAAGTAAAATATTTTCATCACGCTACAAATAATAGGAGCAGAGCAGTAAAGGGAGATGTTGGGAAAACGGGAGAAATTACTCCCTTTTTTAAGTTTCCGTCGCGTGTGCAGCCTTAATGGTTAAAGTTACATAGAAATTATGTAAAACGGAAATATTCTACATAAAATTATGTAAAAAAAAGTTTTACAGCATATGTCTATCTGCGGAGGCGGATCCCAACCTGCGCAGCCAGCGGAGGCCGATCTTCTCGGCCGAATGAGGCAAGAGATGGCTGCCTTCCAGCAGCGTTTTGACGTTTTGGAGGGTAAGCTTCTCCGACCCCCACTCGCGGCTGGTTCGTATGCGGCCGCAGCGGCAAGGCCGAAACCACCAACCAGCCGTGGCGCGCAGGTTGGCGCACCGGTGAAGAAAGGGTCGAAAGCGCCCGCCTCGGCGAAAGCGCCGACAGCTTTGCCCCCGACGAGGGCGCCTTTGTCTCCCCCGGCGTTGGCTCCGGCACCAACAAGCCGCAGACGAAGGGGAGCAGCGGCCGGTGTTCCAGCCGGATCGACGCCAACTCCGCCAGCGGAGTTTCGTGCCGATAGCGAATGGCAAATGGCAGGGGCGGTGAGGAGGGTCGCCAAAGAGGCGAGGAAGCGCCGGAAAAAGGAGCAGCGACAGCGGCGGCAGCAGCGGCGCAGGGAGAAGCGCGTCGCGGCTAAGCTTATTGCCCCTAAATCTTCGGCTGTAGTGATTACACTGCAGCCGGAAGCAGCAAAGCAGGGAGTGACGTACGGCGACGTCCTTAAGAAATTGAAGGGGGCGGTATCTCCTGCGGAGTTTGGGGCACCCGACGGGTTAGCAGTGAGGGTCACTGCCACTGGAGCCCGTCTATTAGAGGTCCCTGGCGCAGCCAGCGGGTCCTCCGCTGACGCCCTAGCCGAGAAGCTCAGGGCGTGCCTTGCAGCGGATGAGGCTCGCGTGTCCAGGCCCACCAAGTGCCTGGAATTACGAATTATGGGCCTGGACGATTCCGTCACAGAGGAAGAGGTGGCGGCTGCTATCGCCAGGACAGGGGGGTGCCCTGCCGCCCAAGTCAGGGCAGGCACTATCCGTCCGGACAATTCGGGGCTTCGGACCGTCGTGGTGAGCTGCCCCGTCTCAGCGGCGAAAATATTGTCGGAGGGCAAGAGACTCCTGGTGGGCTGGGTCTCGGCGCAGGTGAGGCTGCTTGAGCCCCGGCCTCTGAGGTGCTATCGCTGCCTTATTGGTCACCATGTAGGTGCCAAATGCACCTCGGAGGTAGACCGTAGCGACCGCTGCTTCCGCTGCGGTCAGCCCGGTCACAGGGCCGGCACTTGTACCGCCCCGCTGCACTGCGTGGTATGTGCTGCGGCTGGCAAGCCGGCCGATCACCGGGTTGGGGGAAAAACCTGCTCCCCCCCCGCCAAGCCCAGGGGAAAAGTTAGGCCCTCTGCCACCTCCTCTGCCCCCGCTGTTTCCACCGCAGCCTCCGCGAGTGCTGCTGTCGCTGCTGCCAGAGAGGAGGTCGTGATGGACTGTCAGTAATGGCTCCATTACGCCTCCTCCAGGCGAACATCAACCACTGCGTCGCTGCTCAGGATCTCCTGCTCCAGAGCATGGCGCAGTGGTCGATCAATGTTGCTGTGGTCTCCGAGCCGTACTTCGTTCCACCCAGGGAACACTGGTTGTCAGACCTGGACGGCTCGGTGACCATCATCTCGTCGGCCGCCGCCGGTACCCCAACCCCCGAAGGGCCTCAGCGAGGCAGGGGTTGCGTCGCGGTTCGGTTCGGAGAGATCGCCGTGGTGGGCGTGTACTTCTCTCCGAACCGAACTCTCGTCGAGTTCCACAACTCCCTCAGGGAATTAGTCACCGTCGTCGTCGGGTTCCGTCCCCTCCCCGTGCTCGTCCTCGGGGACTTCAATGCCAAGAATTTGGCTTGGGGTTCTCGGCTCACCGATGTCCGGGGAAGGATGGTCGAAGACTGGGCTCTGGAGACAGGCCTAGTCGTGCTGAACCGGGGTTCTGTCCCCACGTGCGTACGGATGCGGGGCGAGTCAGTGGTGGACATTTCGTTTGCTAGCCCCGCTCTGTCATCGCGCGTTGTCGACTGGCGCGTCATGGAGGAGGTGGAGACGTTTTCGGACCACCGGTATATACGGTTCGACGTTTCCGCCGAGTCCGCAGACCCGCCAGTCAGACAGGCCCCGTGTGGCCCGCGTTGGGCGCTTAGGCAACTGGACCGGGAGCTTTTCCTGGAAGCCGCAGTCGTGCAGGCCTGGGTGATACCACCGGTCAGGCCTGCCGACGTTAACGAGGAGGCGAGATGGCTCCAGGACGCCATGTCTCGGATGTGCGACGTGGCGATGCCCCGGATCCGGGCGTGCCAACGCAAGCGCCAGGTGTATTGGTGGTCGCGGGAGCTGGCTGCTCTGCGTGGTGAGTGCACCGCAGCGCGACGCCGATACACCAGGAACCGCAGGCTCCGTATCCGCCCTCTGGACGCTGAAACCAGAGAGGCGGAGCTGTACGAGGAGTACAGGGCGGCGAAGGCCACCCTAAGGGTGGAGATCCGGCGGGGAAAAGATCGGGCCCGCGAGGAGATGTTGGAGACTCTGAACAGAGACCCGTGGGGACGCCCCTACCGCATGGTGCGTGATAAGCTCCGCACCTGGGCGCCCCCACTGACTCAGAGTCTCCGGCCGGAGGTCGTGGACGAAGTGGTTGGGGCGCTATTCCCCCGACCACAGACAGGTTACACGCCTCCCACTATGTCTCCGCCCCCTGCGGTGCCCAATGCGGGCTACAACGACGACGACGGTGAATCCGCTCCGGAAGTGACCGAGGTAGATTTGAGGGTGGCGGTGCGCCGGCTGAGCGGCAAGAACACCGCCCCAGGACCTGACGGGCTGCATGCCAAGGTTTGGGTCCTGGCCTCGGAGGCTCTCAGGCCTCGACTAATTGGTCTTTTCAGCGCATGCTTGGAGAGGGGCCAGTTTCCGCTGTCGTGGAAGACGGGTAAACTGGTCCTCGTGAAGAAGCCGGGGCGTCCTGCGGACTCTCCGTCCGCGTACCGGCCCATTGTGCTGCTCGACGAGGTGGCAAAACTGTTCGAGAGGATTATATCAGACCGCCTCGTCGGGCACCTGTCTAGAAGGGGGCCGGATTTAGCGGACGGCCAGTTCGGCTTCCGCAGAAGGCGCTCCACGGTAGACGCCATCATGCGCGTGAGGGACCTCACGACGGGGACTGCGTTGGCCAGGGGGCGAGTCGTCGTGGCGGTGTCTCTGGACATCGCCAACGCCTTCAATTCGTTGCCCTGGAGCTGCATTCTGGAGGCACTCCGGTACCACCGGGTGCCTGCCTATTTTCGTCGTGTAGTCGAGGCTTACTTGACGGACAGATGTGTCATCTACCCCGGTCACCGGGGCGTGTGGAATCGGCGAGAGGTGTCGCGCGGTGTTCCACAGGGATCGGTCCTGGGACCTCTCCTGTGGAACATCGGGTACGATTGGGTGCTACGCACCGACCTCCCGAGCGGCGTCAACATTGTTTGTTATGCTGACGACACGCTGTTGCTGGCGAATGGGAGGTCACATCAGGCGGCGGCCGACCTGATGTCGCAAGCGGTCGCGACAGTCGTTGCAAGGATCCGGCAGTTGGGACTCGAGGTGGCGCTTCACAAATCCGAGGCCATGTGTTTTTATGGCCGTCGGAACGCGCCACCTCCAGATGGGTCCCAAATAATGGCAGGAGGAGTTACCA